CTCTTAAATATTTCGACGATTCAGCCATTTTCCCTATGTACATTTTTATCTTATTAATGCTTTCGCCAATTCGCTCACTCGCTCTTGCCCATTGCTCCGTGTATCTGTGGTTTGTGATCTATTTGTAGTGTGCCAAATAAACGTATAGAACACTTTGTATTCGCTTTCTGATTTATAAACTGTGAGGTGCTATTTAGTAACGGTTGTCTGGACAAGCAAAATACGAAGTCTAACAACACGTTGGATACCGACGGTCACTGGTTATCACATAAAGAGCACATAAAGAGCCCCGACCGTAGCTGCTACCTTGATGTGGTGGTCAGGATTGCCTATCGTGATCACCCAACCGAGCTATACTGGCTGGAACATATTTTCCTGCAGGTCCTACCATGCCAGGCAGGTCGATTGGAGGACAATGGGATTAAAAGCAGCTACCCAAGGTCTCAGGGCGAAGTCGTACTGCTGACTTCAGAGGGGTGTGACAGCAGTAAGGTGTATCCATCGGACAACCAGCATCTGCAGCGATGCTGCCTTCTCACAAGGAAGGAAGGGTTAGAAAAGGTCGACCATAAAAATGTCACATCTCAACCTACCTCACGGATTTCCGTCACAAGCGGTAAGGGTGCCCACTAAGGGCCTTTAAGAACGGAGCTTTTCCTCAAAATACATTTCATTAAAAGGCCGTGCGTGACCGGCCTCAAGCAGTTGTCCCTTAGACTCTGCGGTCACGCACCAACACTAATCCATCTTCCTTTTCAGGTCCCTCAAGAAACAACCTTCCACGGTGTGGGCAGCCGGGAAGTGACAACTGCCCTCATACCCGTAACAGCACGCGAGACCGAATTGGTCAAAATCAAATCCTTCCTACTCCCCCTAATATCTCTCTTATCTCTACGACTAACTCTACTCACACTCCCTTTTCTCACTGCACCGCTAATGCAGACGAAGCGAGATCACGAAACGTTGTTCCTGGTCTCTTGAAACCCCGTTCTAGACTACATGTTGGAGCTTTTAATGTATGGACATTGTGTCAAATAGGGCAACAGGCATCATTAGCTAGGACTTTACAATCTCGCTCAATCGATGTATGCTGCGTCTCGGAAACGCGCATAAAGGATCCTAGTAAAGTCATTAACCTGATTCCGCCTTGTCAAAACGAAGAAGCAGCCCGATTTACTCTCCGTGTATCAGGTAGCCCTGATGCTGCCTCCAGGGGTCTTGCTGGCGTAGGCATAGTGTTGAGTCCTAGGGCAGAATTATCTGTCCTAGACTGGATCCCGGTAGATAGTCGTTTGTGCGCTGTCCGACTAAACGGGACAGTAAGGACTCGTAAGGATAGGGACACTCGCCGTTGCCTCTTCGTCATATCTGCCTATGCCCCCACTGACTGCAGTGCAGACGAGGTTAAAGATGAGTTTTACAGGAAGCTTTCGGACCTCCTCCAAAAAGCTAGGCGCTCTGATATAGTAATAATGGCTGGTGACTTCAATGCTCAAGTAGGTAGACTAGGTGAAAAGGAAAGACATCTTGGTGGATGTTATGGTGTAGCGACTGAGAGAACAGACAATGGCGACCGTCTGTTGCAACTATGCTCAGATAACTGCCTATTCTTAGCAAACACTAACTTTAGGCATAAGGAAAAGCATCTGTTGACCTGGCGACCCCCGAAGTCGTCTCAACGTTGGACTCAACTAGATCACATCGCCATCAGCCACCGATGGAGGGGTTCGATAGAAGACTGTCGATCGTTCTGGGGCACATGTTTGGATTCAGATCATGCTCTAGTGCGAGCTCGTATCTGTTTAAGGATTACTGGACGTAGGAAAGACACCGTCAGGAGGCCACGAGCCACTCTTCGGTTACCCACGATCTGCAGTCATCCTGAATGGCAAATCGACGTAAGTCCCCCTAGTCTTAATGACGTTGAGAAAGCGTTAGGAAATCTGAAGCGAGGACGAGCTGCAGGTCCTGATAGACTGACGCCTGAGATATTTAAGGATGGTGGTCCAGTTTTAGCAGCTAGATTGACTGAGATCTTAGGTAGAATCTGGGAACTGGACGTAATCCCATCCGACTGGTCCCAATCTATAAGAAAGGACGAAAGTCTTCTTGTGACAATCACAGAGGAATAAGTCTAATTAATATAGTATCTAAAATATTGGCCTCAATAATACTTCGACGCTTAACGAAAGCTCGTGAAGAGCAGACTCGAGAAAACCAGTCTGGTTTTCGACCTGGAAGTGGTTGTATAGACCACATCTTCACACTACAACAGGTCCTGGAACATAGACACACATTTAGGCGTCCTACAATAGTTGTTTTCCTGGACCTTAAGGTGGCTTTGACTCTGTGGATCGTGAGGTTCTGTGACAGTGTCTGTCATTGAAAGGTGTACCAAAGAAGTACAATAACCTTATACAAGCTCCACTCGAACACCACTGGTCGAGTGAGTGCTTATGGCTAACTGTCACCGGAATTCTCTACATCAAGTGGTGTCCGTCAGAGATGTCCACTTTCTCCATTCTTGTTTAATTTTATCATAGACATGCTCCTAGAAATAACCTTATCCTCGTCTGAATTTTCAGGAGTAGACCTTCTACCAGGTGGCTCGCTTATTGACTTAGAATATGCCGATGACATAGTCCTACTTGGTGAAGACGCTGACAAAATGCAGAGTCTTCTGACTACCCTAAGCAACAATGCAAGCATATTCGGGATGCGGTTCTCATCCACGAAATGCAAAATGTTGCTTAAAGATTGAGTTGCATCGGCACCTGAACTAGTGATGGGGAGTGAAGTAGTCGAACGGGTAGACCGCTTCACTTAACTGGAGAGTCTCATCAGTGCTGATGGCCTGGTGACTGACGAAATCTCAGCTCGGATACAGAAGGCTCGATTGGCTTTTGCCAACCTGCGTCACTTATGGTGTAGGCGTGATATCCGTTCTCTAACAAAGGACGAGAGTACTGTGCAACAGTTCGCTCCGTTCTCCTATATGAAGGAGAAACATGGCCGATAAGAGTAGAATATATTCGTAGGTTATCGGTTTTCGATCATAGGTGTCTTCGAAGCATTGCTCGTATATCGTGGGACAACCGAGTGAGCAATGCTGTCGTTAGGAAACGAGTACTAGGTAAGGATGGCAGATCAATCGATGAAGTATTGAAACTTCATCAGTTGAGGTGGTTGGGACATGTGTTGCGTATGCCGAACCACCGACTGCCTCGACGAACTTTGTTTTGTAGTGTAGGAATAGGTTGGAAGAAAGTTAGGGGCGGCCAAACCAAAACATGGCTAAAATCCATGAAGTCACTGACAAGTGGACTGAGTCATGTTGGTAGATGTAGGCTACCTGGTTGGGGTCCGCGAGATGATAATAATCGATGGTTAGAGACCTTGAATGACATGGCTCAAAACCGTGCGAAATGGCGTAGGTGTATTTATTCTTTGTGTTCTCTCAAATCCTAATCTTCTGGATTCTTCAACACCTCTAGTTCCGAATCTCTAAACTTTTCTCACTGAATCATACTTCTTGAATAGTATCTTCTAACCCTAACCTCTCCGATTACTTCTAATACCTTTACTACCTCTACTACTATTGGATTTGAATTGACAATTACATCTCTGTGCTGATGTGGTATGGCAACATGAACTGACGTACTTACGTACAAAGTTCTACGTTACATCAGACTGACTGACATAAAGAGCGATTGGAGAGTGCGGAATCTCGCCGTTCTCGGTTATATCAATGTAAAAATCAAAACAGGATAAAACTAGTCACTTGTCTATTTCAAACTTCCGTAGAAGATAAATATGAAGTACACTCACACTATTATAAACAATTTCCATTCATAACTACAACACAATTACAGAAGTAACAGTGATGAGGATCAGTTCAATTGGCCCTCAGTCACATTTCGGCTGCCCACAATCTCCAGCCATCCTGAATGACAAATCGAGTCTTTATGAAATTGATAAAGCTATAGGAAATCTGTAGCTAGCGCGAGCAGTGGGTTCTGGTAGATTGATCCGTCAGATTTCTAAAGATGGTAGTCCAGTTTTAGCAACTGGATTGACTGAGATCTTAGGTAGAATCTAGAAAACTGGACGTAATCCCATCCGACTAGATTCTAATCTTTCCGATTACTGCTAATGTTTCTACTAAATCTACTACTATGGGATTTGAATTGAAAATTACATCTATGTGCGCTAATGTGATGTACGTACGTATGTATGAAGTTCTCTACGTTGCAACTGACCGACTGAAAAGCAGGGAAAACAAGAGAATTCTATTCAATCCGTTTTTCTTCTCTATAAAACAAAAAACTGATAAACTATGAAAAAACAATAACTGAAAAAGATTATTTTGATATACATAATGTAGCCGTCAAAACAGTAAAAGGCAAAAAGAACACGAAGAGATTTAAAGTGTGTGTGTGCGCCATTGTGTGAACATACATCCTTGAGTGCAATGTCATAACTTTGAATAGAATAATTGTGTGAATGAGTGAGTTAGAGAGAGAGAGATAAAATGAAACATAGAATTAGTAAAACAAAAGCAGTAGTTCATTGTCAACTTATGCTATGGCATGAAATCAGCCGGAAACAAAACATTGATAAACGCGAATAAATAAATGTTAAATAAGAATTTTATTGATTTCTAACGACACGATTAAAACACACAAACACATTAGTCATAAGAAATAATAACAAGCTAACTTTGATTCATCGATAAATTTTCAAACTAATAATGGGCGAAAAAAATCACTCTTCACAACAACATGATAGATACATAAAAATTCATTCATGATTGTTATTTTGAAGATAAACGAATTATACTACTATTAGTAATACTAGTAGTATAAATGATATAAATAAAATTTAAAACGGTAAAGCAACAGTCTAGATATGTAGGTAGGTAAGTATTATTAAAATAAAGCAACATAGTTTTAATATCAACCAAATAGCTCGTTGGATGAATGAATGAATGAGTTAATGCTTTAATGTTTAATCTCTTTAAATTGTGTATGACCTGTTAATTGAGCATGTTTTTGTGCAGCGGATTGACCAACCAATGGAGCATCACATTGTTGACAAAGTAATGTAAATGATGAGAGATCAGTGAATGCCCATTCAGCACGAGCTTTTGCTGCTAATTGTTGAGCTTCAAATAAAATCTATGATATAATAACAATAATAATGTGTAAAATCAACGATCTCTATAATAATATAAAGCAAATTCTAAAAATGTGCCCACCAGTGACTAGCTTCGTGAGGAAATTCTCCAAGTTCTAGTAAGAAAACGTGACCAGCGGAGTTTAACCCCTGTCAGGTGTAGGCAGTTAGATATTAGCCCTGTTAGATGGTCAGTGATTCAAAGGCTAGGCGTTCCCACATAAGATCGAACGACGGTGTCCTGGGTACAAATCGTACGAGTAACAGGATTCTTGGATGCACACTGCTGATCAGTTCCATATCAGGACAAAATGACCGTCCAATGCTTCCAGGTTTAACAATAATTCATTCATTATTTCAATGAGTAAGAACAAAGACTAAGAGGGGATGGTAATGTAGTAATGTCATATTAATTAAGTTACACATTTGCCTAGCTAGTAACCAGTAGTGAGAGTGCGAGTATGTCGAGCCCACAGAACTTATCCTAGCTTCCCGACAAACTAATTAACCTTTTCTCCCGCAAGATACTATTCACATTTCTTTTAAGGTTGTCAATCATTCGGTCATTTCTTCATTGTTTTTACTGGAGTATGTGTATGTGCCGCTTAACCCAACCGAAGCTGTTACCTTAACGTAGTGATCGGGATTGCCTATCGTGATCAACCAACCGAGCTATATTGGCTGAAACATATGTTCCTGAAGGTTCCACCATGACAGGCAGGTCGATTGGAGAACGATGAGACTGAAAAGCAACTACTCAAGACCTGAGGGTGAAGTCGTACTGATGACTGTGATGGAGGGGTGTGACAGCAGTAAGGTGTTTTCCTCGGACAACCAGCATCTGTAGCAATGCTGCCTTCTCACAAGGAAGGAAGGGTTAGAAAAGGTCGACCCTAAAAATGTTACACCTCACCCTACCTCACGGATTTCCGTCTCCTTGGGTAAGGGTGCCCACTAAGGGCTTTCAAGAGCGGAGCTACTACTCAAAATACCCTGTATAAAAAGGCCGTGCGTGACCGGCCTCAAGCAGTTGTCCCTTGGGCTCTGCGGTCACGCACCCAGGTCGTTCAGACCAACGCTAATCTACCTTTATTTTCAGGTTCCTCAAGAAACAACCTTACACGGTGTGGGCAGCCGGGAAATGACAACCGCGCTTATACCCGGTAACAGCACACGAGACCAAATTGGTCAAAATCAAATCCTTCCTACACCCCCTAATACCTCTCTGATGTGCCGCTTACTTCGCTTATCGCATGTCAGGCTTATTTTTATCTGACTGTAAATACGCTTAGTCATGACTCATGACATGGATTTGGCTCACCGGCCTTCTCCACTTCACTTTGCTCTGTTTGTATGATTTACGTTTTCGTCTCCCTGCTTAAATGAATACATGAACGATTGCTTGAAATTAACTCATCCAACCGAATCCGTATTTGACTCCTAATTACCGCCGTCGCACAAACGCGGTTCACTTAAGTATGACATACGGAAAATGAAGGGTAGATTTATTTCATAGCATACTCTAACGTTCAATAAAGGAGTCAACTCACAGACCACTGAAGACCGTAGTTTAACTTCATCGATATATTGTCGTCACGTGATGATGGCTTAGTTTTAGACAACACACTGAACGTCATCGTCACTAATTGGATGCACATATGCAGTATGAATCGATAAGGTCAACTACATATTTGCAAAACATAACCGCTCACTAGTGATTCAATGCCTTATGAAGACAGAGTGTACTGAGGCTAAACATATAATATCCTCTCTCTCTTTGTAACTCTTACTCCATAAATATAGCCAATTCGCAAACAGTAGAATGACGAAGCATTTCATCATAGTTGATATCAGCTCGTAATGTAAAAAACCCTGACCACCTGCCTCCAGCTGAACTCCCGAATAACTAACTAATCCTAACAACCATTTAGCATCATCAACAGTTAGGGTCGCCGTTGGCGACAAAAATTATTTGAAGCGATAACCTTAACTCGCTACACACTAGCTCGACTATTATTATGTAAACTAGGTGTTAGGATATTCATCCAATATCCTAAGAGAATTATTGGTCAAATCCTATTGATCGATTTCTATTGGTCAAAATTATGGTCGTTTTAACTGTCAAAGTCAAATACTTCAATGTTGTCTCTTACTGGTCATCTGGACTGTCAATGTCATTTCAAATGTTACTTCCTATTGGTCGTCTTAACTGTTAATGCCACAGAATTTGATGATGTTTCCTATTCGACCACACAATGTATAAATACGCATTATCTATAATATTTTATGAGCACGACCAGGACAAGGGCTCGGTCCTTGATCCCTAGTCCGGGATCCTGATTCTCTTCTGGATTCGGACGTCATACTTTCTGGATGCTTGTAGAATACAAGTTCTACTTCATATCACGTCTTCTTATTTTTTACTAAATATGGGAGTTGGGATAATTGGATTTGAGTAGCAAGTCGTGTCACCGGATCCTCGCTCTCGTTTTCCGACTAAGGTAAACTCGTAATAGTTCAATGAATATCAAGTTGACATGTTTACATGTAGGCGTAACACTAGGCTGCTTGCTGGGACCTCTTAAAATCATCCGTATATGATCATTTTACCAACCTATTTAGTCGATTAGCAGAATAGTAATGACAAAAGGGGACATTTTCAAAATGAAACAAACGTTAGTTTTTGAGGGAAAAAAAAACCCAAACCAAACTAAATCAAATCAAACATGCAAAACATACGATATCATCATTTGCTGAGAAGACAGTAATTAAACAATCACGTGATAGACATTGTTGTGCCAATGGATCATAGTGTATACCATCATAAATTAATAAGATACGTTTAGTATAATTTTGATCTTCACCGAAACAATCAATACGACACGATTCAATATCAACAATGCATATTTGAATTTTATATAATTTGGATAAAATAGACACTTCAATACCACCGCCCCATTTATCTGACTGTGATAAAAAAAGAAAGAAGGGAAGAGATGAATGATGATAAAATGGTGATAGAATCAAAAATTTGAAAATGCAGTCAGTCAGTCAGTCAATCAATCAATCAGTCACAAAGTAGAACTTCTTATGTACGCACGTACATCCGTTCAAGTTGCCATACCACATTAGCACACAGATCGAGTAAGCAATGCTGTTGTTAGGAAACGAGTACTAGGTAAGGATGGCAGATCAATTGATGAAGTATTGAAACTGCATCAGTTGAGGTGGATGGGACATGTGTTACGAATGCCTAACCACTGACAGACAGATAGATACAACACAGAACTTCGTAGGTAAGTACATTAGTTCAGGTTGCCATACCACATCAGCACAGAGACGTAACTGTCAGTTCAAATCCAAGAGTGATAGCGATAGTAGGAGTATTAGAGAGTAGTGGAGAAGATTAGGGAGTGAAGATATGACTCGAAAGTATAATTCAGTGCGATAAATTTAGAAGGAGAAAGACAGAGATTATGAGGAATTCAGGAGGTTAGAATTAGAGAGAACACAAAGAAGGGATGCACTTGAGCCATTGCAAACGATTCTGAGCCATGTCGTTCAAAATCTCTAACCATTGGTGACTATCGTCTCGCGGACCCCAAACAAGTAGCCTACATCTACCAACATGACTCAGTCCACTTGTCAGTGACTTCATGCATTTCTGCCATGTTTTGGTTTGGCCGCTCCTAGCTTTCTTCCAGTCTACTCCTACACTGCAAAACATAGCTCGTCGCGGCAGCCGGTGGTTGGGCATTCGTAACACATGTCCCAACCATCTCAACTGGTGAAGTCTCATTACTTCATCTATTGATTTACCATCCTTACCTAGAACTCGTTTCCTAACGACAGCATTGATTATACGGTTGTCCCAGGATACACGAGCAATCCTTCGGAGACATCGATGATCGAAGACTAGCAACCTACGAATGTCCTCTACTCTTAACGGCCAAGTCTCGCATCAGTACAGTAGGACGGAGCAAACTGCTGCACAGCACACTCGTCCTTTGTCCTGTAGTGTAGGAGTAAGTTGGAAGAAAGCTAAGGGGTGGCCAGACCAAAACATGGCAGAAATGCATGAAATCACTGACAGATAAGTGGACTGAGTCATGTTGGTAGATGTAGGCTACCTGGTTAGGGTCCGTGAGACGATAGTCACCGATGGTTAGAGATTATGAATGACATTGGCCAAAACAGTTTGCAATGGCGCAGGTACATTCATTTTTTGTGTTCGCTCAAATCGTAACCTTCTAAATTCCCCATCATATTTATCTTTTTCTTTTTAAGTTTATTTCACTAGATTCTACTTCTTGAATAATATCGTCGAACACTAAAATTTTCGATTACTGCTAACTCTTCTACTACCTCTACTATTATGGGCTTCGAAGTGACAATTACACCTTTGTGCGAATACGGTATGGCAACTTGAACTGATGAACGTACGTACATATGAAGTTCTACGTTGCTATTGATTGACTGACTGATACAGAGATGTAATCGTCAATTTAAACCCTATAGTAGTAGTAGAGGTAGTTGAAGTATTAGCAATAATCAAAAGGACTAGTGATCAAACATATCATTTGAGAAGTATGAGTAAGTGAAATAAATTTAACAAGAGAAAAGTAGAGGTGATGGAGAATTCAGAAAATTAGAATTTGAGAGAACATAAAGGATGGATGCGCTGGCGCACCACTCTAAACGATTTTGAGTCATGTCACACTCAAGGTTACTATCATCATCTCGCGGACCTCAACCAGGTGAGTCTACACCTACCATCAGTTGTCAGTGATTACATGGACTTGTGCCATGTTTTGGTTAGGATGCCCCTATACCACAAAATATCGCTCGTCAAGGCAGTCGGTGGTTGGGCATACGTAAAACAAGTCCCAAGCACCTCAATACTTCATTTATTGATCTGCCATCCTTACCTAGTTTTGTGAATTCTAAAATCTTAGTTATGGTTTCATGAGCAATATGAGATAATAACAAAAAGTGACTGTGATACTTTCAAATAGCCTCCTTATTATTATAGAGTTGTAGAGATTGTTGAATAACATGAGTCGATTAAAATGTCAAGACACAATTAAAAACCTGGAAGCAAGTGGGAGTCGAAATGAAGATTTTCAGTTTCACGTAAGAACACGTAATCTTTAGATCAATGAGTCGAGCATTCAACGACATTAGTGTCTTTTAACTTCTAAAATGGTATTGAGATGGTGGGGAAAATTTGTAGCTCAGTTGGATGATTGTGGTGGAGTTTCGTTCTCTAAGCCGGATGTTTTCAATGTAGAGCTTTCATTGTTCTTCTGAACAACATCATCAGTACAAACTTCAGATAGAAGAAGTGAAGTATTCGAATTTCTCCACATATGACTCATGGCTAGTTCTGTTAACCTCCATCATGATTGTCGTTGGTTTCGATCGTGTTCCCCTTTTGATCTGTTTCTTGATCCTATGTCACTTATGATTTTTCTGATTGATTGATAAATTGGGTCAATGTCCATATGTTTGTTGATTACTGATTGACCTGAGTGCAAAGCTTCTAAAAATTCTCTAGTATTCTTGGAGCTCCCCCTATCTAGGTATTTCAACATTGTTTCCATCCGATGTATGTCCATAATGGTCCGTGTGTTTTGATATAATTGAAGCGTTGTCATGGTGTTTGACTGCTAACTGATATTCACTCAGAGAACGTTCACTTTGTCCTATATAGTGATGGTTTACCCCGGGATTGATTGAAGTGATTCTGTTGGCTAATGTGCATTACACTTATTCCAAATGGTTTCAGTAGTCGTGCTGTAATTTCCACCGATATTATGTCGTTCGTACATTTCGTTCCATAGTTGTCCGTCTACATAAGATTACTTCTTTAATCTCAACTATACAAAAATAATACAATTTACTGATACGTTCGTCACTAGGTACGCTTGAAGCTATTACGAGTTCACCTTAGTCGATAAACGCGAACGAGACAATTACCAGCGTCCAGATAGGCTACCTTGAATCCCAAGCTGAAGACAGAAGGCTTTGTAAGCGTAGAAAGTATATTCTACAAACACCCAGCAATCACAACACAATCAAGCATACAACTCTCGTTTATTTATACATCATAGAAACGTCCTTGGGACAGTCACAAAAATAGCACACTAAAATACACAGCACCCAATCACAACCATGGATTTTCCTGGTGGGAAATGTGTGATCTCAAGGTCAACTGATCAGCCCATGCTCCTCGCAAACGTGAAATCCAAAATAAGGCATTATTTATCAAGCGAGTTTTGGGGATCTAACAACAACCCCAACACTACCCCCTACAAATCCCCCTTTGACATTAATAATCATGTAAAGAAATGACACCACAATTCAACTAACACAAAATGCTTTAACCACAAATAAACTTATTGCTTGCCCGACCGAAGCTGCTACCTTGACGAGGTGGTCAGGATTGCCTATCGTCATGACCCAACCGAGATATATTGGCTGGAACATATGTTCCTGTAGGTTTTACCATGCCAGGTAGGTCGATTGGAGAACGATCAGACTAAAAGCAGCTACTCAAGGTCTCAGGGCGAAGTCGTACTGCTGACTGCAGAGAGGTGTGACAGCAGTAAGGTGTTTCCCTCGGACAGCCAGCATCTGCAGCGATGCTGCCTTCTCACAAGAAAGGAAGGGTTAGAAAAGGTCGACCCTAAAAATGTCACACCTCACCCTACCTCACGGATTTCCGTCTCCAACGGTAAGGGCTGTCAAATAAGGGCTTTCAAGAGCGGAGCTAATACTCAAAAAACTCCTCATAAAAAGGCCGTGCGTGACCGGCCTCAAGCAGTTGTCCATTGGGCTCTGCGGTCACGCTCCCAGGTCGTTAAAACCAACACTAATCTAGCTTCCTTCTCAGGTTCCTCAAGAAACAAACTTCCACAGTGCCGGGAAGTGACAACTGCCCTCATACCCGTAACATCACACGAGAGCAAATCGGTCAAAATCAAATCCTTCCTGAAACTTATTACTTTAATGAATTAAAATCTAATGACAAAATTATAAAAATGCAATTATAACTGAAACCAACAAAAAAACAAGAAAATCGATTAGGTTATCAGCATCTTGCGTGTGTGTGGGTGTGTAAACAGCACAGGACAGAACAGAACAGAACAGAACAGATAAACACACACACATATATATATATCATGATTTTTAGATGAATGAATACTGAAGCTGTTTTGTATTTTACTTCTTACAAACAAAAGGACAGTCAGTGTTCAAGGTGTCATTGGTAGTACTATTGTATATTGTATATTGTGTACAGCAAGCAGCGGCTAACAGGGCTGTTACTACTGATTACAATACAACACAGCAAATAGCTTAATACTCATAAAGATAATATTTAGTATTAATAGAAATGACTGTCTCCAGATTAATTAAAGTACAGTTTCATCAGAATATTATAGTCAAAATAGAAAGTCAAGTGATCAGACAGACAGACAGACAGACAGATACAACACAGAACTTTGTACATAATAAGTACATCAGTTCAGGTTGCCATACCACATCAGCACAGAGACGTAACTGTCAGTTCAGATCGAAGAGTGATAGTGATAGTAGAATTATTAGCAGTAATGGAGAAGATTAGGAAGCGAAGATATGATTCAAAAAGTATATTTCAGTAAGATAAATTTAGAAGGAGAAAGGTAGAGATTATGAGGAATTCAGAAGGTTAGAATTAAAAAGCACACAAAGAGTGGATGCATCGACGCCATTGCAAACGATTCTGAGCCATGTCGTTCAAGGTGACTATCGTCTCGCGGACCCCAACCAAATAGCCTACATATACCAACATGACTCAGTTCACTTGTCAGCAATTTCATGGATTTGTGCCATGTTTTGGTCTGGCTGCCCCTAACTTTCTTCCAACCTACTCCTACATCACAAAACATAGCTCGTGGCGGCAGTCGATGGTTAGGCACACGTAACACATGTCCCAACCACCTCAACTGATGAAGTTTCATTACTTCATCTATTGATCTGCCATCCTTACCTTGTACTCGTTTCCTAACGATAACATTGCTGATTCGGCCGTCCCATGATACTCGAGCAATGCTTCGGAGACATCGATGATCGTATACTAGTAACCTACGGAAGTCCTCTACTCTTAACGGCCATGTTTCACAGCCATAAATTAAGACGGAGCGAACTACTGCGCAGTACACTCGTCCTTTAGTCAGCAAACGGATATCTCGCCTACGCCATAAATGACGTAGGTTGGCAAAAGCCAATCGAGCCTTCTATATCCGTACTGAGATTTCGTCAGTCACCAGGCTATCAGTACTGATAAGACTCCCTAGATAATAGGTGAAGCAGTCTACAGGCTCGACTACTGGTACCATAACCATGCAAACGTCTTGTAAAATGAAAGAAGATCCACACACACACACAAATCAACTGAACATTCTCATCCACATCATCAACATCATCGACTTACTTGTCGTATTTGTGATGAATATTGTTCATTTGACATGCCAAGAAATGCTTCTGAATAATTAATTGGATCATTTAATACAATAGTTGATATAATTTCACGTAAATTCGCCACTTCTTCTATATTTGTTATTACTTGTAAATGATTCATTTTTAAATGCGCATCTTCATTATTCATACAAAATAATACACTTGTAAATAAACATGAATTATCAGATGGTGCTGATAAACGAATTAAATGTGATTCATTATTATTAGTGGTTTTGATTGATTGTGGTGTTTCAACGGTGGTATATGGAGGATAGTGTATGGGTTGGTCTTCATCAACTTTTTCTTTAATAATATCCACAGTAAGTAAATCACCGGAACGAATAGGTATCTACAGGATGTTGTTGTTTTTTGAAGGAGAAATAGTAAGGAAACAATTATTAGATTAAAGTAGTATGTCAAAAAACAATGTGGTTGCATAACATACGACCTCACTTACAAAAATTTTAACTGGATGAGAGAAGTGGTAACCACATGTCGACTACAACCTGGTTAGGGTCGACGAGATGATCATAATCGATGGTTAGGGAACTTTGAATGACGACGACACGGCTCAACAAAATCGTTTGCAATGGCACCGGTGCATTTGTATTCTTTGTGTTTCTCTCTTAAATCCTAATCTTCTTTTTGGATTGTTCAACAGCTCTAGTTTTGACTTTCTAAACTTTTCTCACACTGAATCATACTTCTTGATGAATAATATCTTCGAATCTTAACCTCTCAGATTACTTTAATACTTTTTATTACCTCTTCTACTATTGTATTTGAATTGACAATTAATATCTCTGTGTGTGCTAATGTGGTATGGCAACAACATGAACTGATGTACTTATGTACGAAGTTCTACGTTGCATCTGACTGACTGACTTACTGACTGATAACCACGTGTTAACTGAATTTCAGTGGTCGATGAAGATCGGACTTATCACGTTCTGTAATAATGTAGACTCCAAAAAAAACCGAAACGACTGCCTGATGGTATATACAGTCAGTCAGTTACAACTAAGAACTTCGTGCGTAAGTGCATCAGTTCAGGTAGCCATAAAACATTAGTACACAGACGCAATTGCCAGTTCGAATCTCATAGTGGTAGCGATAGTATAAGTATTACCGATAATGGAGAAGATTAGGGTTCGAAAATATAATTCAGTCAGGTAAATTTAGAAAGAGAAAGGTAGAAGTGATAACGAATTCATAGAACACAATGAGTGGATGCATCGCAAACGATTTTGAGCCATGTCGCTCAAGGTCTCTAATCATCGGTGACTTTCGTCTCGCGGACTCCAACCAGGTAGTGTGCATGTACTAACATGAATCAGTCCACTTGATAGTGACTTCATGGATTGCTGCCATGTTTTGGTTTTGCCGCCCCCTTAGCTTTCTTCCAACCTACTCGTACACCACAAAACATAGCTCGTCGAGGCATTCCGTGGTTAGGCATATGTAACACATGTCCCAACCACCTCAACTGATGGAGTTTCAATACTCCATCAATTGATCTGCCAACCCTGCGTAGTACTCGTTTCCTAACTATAGCATTGTCCCAGGATATACGATGGTATATGCTTTCTTATAAGTCAACTGCGTCGGCCTTGGCGCCTATGTAATTTGAGTGCACAGGTATAATATATAAAGAGTACGCCTGCGAACTTGCACAAAACGAATATCAACTGGAAAAATTCTAAACTATAGCTAAAAAGCGGGAACCTAATAAGAAAAGAAATAGGTGTGTGGCAACCATCCATCATCCCCTTAAGGGGTAGTTATACCTATGTGCATACCAAGGGATACATGGGTGAAAACTAAGGTGCTTCTAGTACGTTCGATGAAATATTGTAGCCTACATATACATTCCTTATTAAAATTTCGTAAATAACATCCTTGCCATGAGAACGCAGTGAGTAGGACTTCTATGGTAATAGCTACAAATGCGTGACCAGATGAGAGCATTTCATGAGAAAACGGACTTTTCCTACGCTCGACCGTATTAGGACATTTAGCGTGTGACTGACTATATGGCAAGGAACATCCGGAATTTTCCTAAATACCATTTATCACTCCTGAAGACCGTTACATGACAAGTGGACTGAGTCATGTTGGTAGTTGTCGACTACCTGGTTGGGGTCCGTGAGACGAAAGTCACCGATGGTTAGAGACCTTGAACGACATGGCTCAAAATCGTTTGCAATGGCGCCGATGCATTCACTGTTTGTATGCTTTTTAATTCTAACCTTCTGAATTCCTCATAATCTCTATCTTTCTCCTTCTAAATTTATCTCACTGAATTATACTTTTTGAATCATATCTTCGCACCCTAATCTTCTCCATTACTACTAATACTTCTATTATTGCTATCACTCTTCGATTTGAACTGACAGTTACGTCTCTATGCTGAAGTGGTATGGGGGCAACCTGAACTGATCGACTTATGTACGAAGTTCTGTGTTGTATCTGTCTGACGACCGTTACTATAGAACACAAGTCGTTGGGTTGGCACAATTTCTTTATCATTCAAAATATATAATAACTGATACCAATATCGGATTGGTTACAGATATATATAAATAAATAGTCGATATGGCCATCGAGTTATTTCAACAGTTAATCAATAAACCTATATGTGTTCAGATGGTAAGCAATGCCCAAGTAAACATTGAGCATACAAGCTCAACAATGATAAAACTACATAATATATATGAGGTACTACTGTAGTGAAGGAGAACACAAGTGGGGCAACCGGATTGTATTTAACGAAAATTACAGAGTTACTCAGTAAAATAGGAAAACCATATCGTAAATCATTAATTTGCAAAATATCAGTCCATCATATCGAACTGGACTGTTCCTGTTGCAAAACATCAATCCATTGTCACTATTCATGCGTTTCATACAAATTCCATTGTGTTCGTCTAACTCTTGCTTTCTTGATCTTCCCTCATCTTCTGCTGCCAGACATTACGTTGACGCTCACGTCATATACTACTTATAAGTAGCTCGCACCACACTACCATAGTTCCCTTCCAGTAATACAATCCACTTTGTATTGCTCTACGAATATGAGACTTGTCGTAACTCACATACAATATATATTGTACTTTTATTATGGCTAAGCTTGTAGTATACACATGCACGCTTAAGAAGCATTGCTTACCACCTACGCATATGTTCATTCTATTAAAGTTGAATGATCAATCAATCGTTTAAATAGTTCGATAACAACAATATCGACTATTTAATATTTGCAATAAATTCAATCATTGTATCGATCATATATATATATATATATATATATATATATATATATATATATATATATATATATATATATATATATATCGAGACAACGATTCTCGTTTTATGATAATAGTCATCGGGATGGCGATCTATGGAGTTTAGGAATACATGGAATATATCCAACGCCAGATAATTAATTGCTCGGCCGAATGTCAAGCTTGACCGTAACCTCCTACAGAACCACATCGACAAAGAAGAAGCTCTCAAACTTAATGCGCATTCAACAAATTAATCATCAACGTATCAGACTTGATGATGAACAATGCCGACAACACATTTTCACATCCAATGAAGTCAAATTTCATGAGGACGATATTATGCACATATAAACATTCCATGTAAATTATGTTTCATCAACACTATTGAACACAAAATCAACAATTGCACATAAAATGCCGGCATACATGATACATACAATTTTTTAATATTGTGGAATAGTTTAGTAAGTTGGTTCCGTCTTATAACAACATGTAATTTGTTCTTAGCACTGTCACTGTCTATTTAATTTTCTTCGCATTTTATATATTAAGTTGATTTATTCATCTACTATACTATTCATTGTATAGAAACAACATTTTTTGAGATAACGAACGAACTGTTAGGTCCTTTCATCGCTCAATTCCTCTTTTGTAGGTTCACCGACCCAGAATTTTGGTTTATTATTATTTTTTAACTAACCGTATTTATTCAGACCAGACCGTAGCTGCTACCTTGATGTGGTGGTCGGGATCGCCTATCGTGATGACCCAACCGAGCTATATTGGCTGGAACTTATGTTCCTGAAGGTTCTACCATGCTAGGCAGGTCGATCGAAGAATGGCGAGACTAAAGGCAGCTATTCAAGGTCTGAGGGAGAAGTCGTACTGTTGACTGCAGAGGGATGTGACAACAGTAAGGTTTTTGTTTCCCTCGGACAGCCAGCATCTGCAGCGATGCTGCCTTTTCACAAGGAAGGAAGGAGTTAGAAAAGGTCGACCCTAAAAATGTCACACTTCACTCTTCATCACGGATTTCCGTCTCCGTCAGTAAGGGTGCCCACTAAGGGCTTTGAAAAGAGCGGAGCTAACACTCAAAAAACGTCTCATAAAAAGGCCATGCGTGACCGGCCTCAAGCAGTTGTCTCTTGGACTATGCGGTCACGCACTCAGGTCTCCAAGACCAACACTAATCTACCTTCCTTTTCAGGTTCCTCAAGAAACACCCTCGCACGCTGTGGGCAGCTAAGAAAAGACAACCGCCCTCATACCTGTAACAGCAAGCGAGACCGAATCAGTCATAATCAAATCCTTCCTGCACCCCATAACTGTACTCACATTCGTTTATCACCCCACCCCTCTGTTGCAAACGATTCGAGTTCACGAAACGTTTTTCATGGTCTCCTGAAACCTCGTTCTAAATTACATGTTGGAGCATTTAATGTAAGGAAATCGTGTCAAATTGGACAACAGGCTTCTTTAGGTAGGACATTAGAATCCAGAGCCATCGACGTATGCTGCGTCTCGGAAACGCGCATTCAGGATCGGAGTAGCGTCACTCACTTGATCTCACCATGTCAAGATAAAGAAGCAGCTCGATTTACCCTTCGTGTATCCGGTAGCCCTGATGCTGCTTCAAGGGGTCTCGCTGGTGTGAGTGTAGCATTGAGTCGTAGGGCAGAACTAGCGCTCCTAGTCTGGATCCCAGTAGATAGTCGGTTGTGCGCCGTCCGACTAAACGGGACAGTAAGGACTCGAAAAAATAGGGACACTCGCTGTTGCCTCTTCGTCGTATCCGCCTACACCCGCACTGACTGCAGTTCAGATGAGGTGAAAGATGAGTTTTACAGAAAGCTTTCGGACCTCCTCCAAAACGTTAGGCGCTCTGATGTAGTAATAATGGCTGGTGACTTTAATGTTCAAGTAGGTAGACTTAGTGCGCAGGAAAGAAACCTAGGTGCATCTTATGGTGTCGCGGCTCAGAGACGTCTGTTGCAACTATGCTCAGATAACCGCCCAATTCTAGCAAACACTAACTTTAGGCATAAGGAAAAGCATCTTC